TTGCTCTCGGCCTCTGCCCTTCGCCCTGACCTGTGGTCTCAGTGCCTCAGCTTCTGGTCCCCTGCTTCCTGTGTGACTCCGGACAGAGGTCTCCAACAGGGTGCCCTGGTGCCCCTCTCCCTCGATGGTCCCCAGAGCCTCTTCCTCCACCCCTAGGGGGCTCTCTTAAACACAGAAGCATGGCAACCCAAACTTAGCAGTCCCCTCCGGAAGTGTTCCACACCCCCCGGAAGCATGGTCTGACCCCAAAACTTGGTGGGCCTTACAGAGACATGGAGAGCAGAGCCTGTGGAGGGCTGTCTGGGGTTGCCCTCCCCCTGGGTAGCCAGTCAGCTCTGTCCTCCTTGCCAGCCTGCCTGCACCTGTCCCATGGGGACCAGGGACTCAGGAGCCCGCTGCCTTTCTGATTGATTGGTGGCACTAGGATCCTGTGCTAAAATTGACAGTAACGTTTCTGCTAATCACTACTGTCACTGTGGCTCTTACCAGCAGTGCCCATAATTGCTCATAATAAGGGACTTACCATTTATGTACTCATTAATGTAATGATAATCATTCATATTTCTAACAGGGTGCTATCTCACTGGTGCTTTTTTTGCCAGGCTAACCCCTTAGGCCCACCCACCTGCCTTCTGGCCAGCCTTGGCCTTTGCTTGTGCTGCTCAGCTCCAGTTGCCCTGGGGCTCTGGAGAGTTGGGTGGGGGTAGCAGGGGGCTCCCTAGGCCGCTCGCTGGTTCTGTCTGACTGGACTCCCTCCAAGCAGGGGGCAGAGGGTTCAGTGTGTGTGTGGGGGGTGCGCGCAGGTAGCAGAGGCCAGAGGGAAGGTCTGTTTGTTAGACTTGAACCTTCTGGCAACACCCAACTGCTCCTGGGCAGGGCTAGGGTGGGCGGCAGGAGGGCATGTGCCCACTTTGCTCTAGCCTCCCCACCCCCGCAAAGCCCCCAGGCTCAGCTATGCTGGGTCCCTGGGAGAGCTGGCTCACCAGGTGATGGGACCGGCAGAGACTGGGGTGCTGGGCTCATAGTAGCTTCCTTTTGTCCTCCACAGCCACCAAACTACAAGAGGTCGCACAGAAATACAAGGTCTTTATCGAGGCTCTGGGCGGAGGCCCCCAGTAATTGGCGTCCTGGTCCCGGAACCAGAGCAGCAGTGCCCCACATGCTGTCCTCACCCCCCCCCCAGCGGAGTGGCTGGGACTTCTGTTCTTTCTTTCTGAGGAGGGGGGCACAGGAGGGAAGAAAGGAAAGGTCATTTCTAACAAGACGCCTCCGCCTGCTTTTTTGCTTCCTCTGCTTCGTGAGCTGCGCATCCCTCTGCTGGCCATCAGCTGCCCAGTCCTGGATTCTCCATTGTCCCCAGGTCATACTCTGAGGGGCCTCCTTCCCGTGCTGTCCCCTCTCGCCTCGTGCCTGCATGCCAGTCCCACTTCTCCCCAGTGCCCTGGGGACAGCCATTTGGGTGAGGCTCTGAGGTGGGGCCACTTCCTCTGCCTGTCAGAGTGCTCAGCAGCAGGGCGGAGAGGGGGAACATGCTGGGCCTTGTCCAGGAAGCTCCTCTGAGCTTCCCAGGTGACCCAGTATCCCCCTGAGCAGTGTCCCTGTCATAGCCACCTCCCTCCCCAGGAGCACGGGGAACAGGCACGCTTGGTGGCTCTGAGTACTCCCTTGAAGGGGGTGGAGGAGGGGGCTTCTCCCAGAGCCCTGCCCTCCCTCCTGCCGACAGCCCACCTTGGCATCCTCGTGTCCTCAAACGCAGGCAGCCCTGGAGTCCGGTCCTGGGCTCACACAGGCATCCTCCTGGCCCCCTGCTGGTGGTTTCTCAGATACCATCTCCCCATCCTGGTGGCAGATGAGACCTTGAGATGGGCAACCTGGGCCTGGCCACTCTCAGTCACTGAGGAGAAACTGAGGCCTAGGAAAATGGGGATGGGTGGAGGACCCAGCCTCCTCAGTAGCTCATGCTTCCTCCTTGCCTATGACGTGTCTCTGCACCCACGGTGGCATGCATCGGAGCCTGGGGGCGCCCAGGAGCCAGCTCCTGCTTCATAAACACGGGCGTGTGTGTCCCAGCGACTGTGAACAAGCAGAGGGGCCGGTGAGCCGGCTGCACTGGTTTCTGCGGCCCCAGACTAGTGTTGCCCAAGCAGCTGGGGGCGGGCCGAGGCAGGGATTAAAGGCCTGGATCTGCCTGCGGGACACAGGTGCTCGGCAGCCAGGAAGCCGGTCAGCAACCAGACCAGGTAAGCGAGGCCAGGTAGCCTGGAGGTGCGCCAGGCCAGACCAGGTCGGGGCTGGCTTCTATGGGCTGCGAAGCAGACGGAGCTGGCGTGCTGCAGAGCACCCTGGCTCGGGCCTGAGACCCCACGGGGAGAGGCTCCTAGGCCAGCCTGGCGGGGAAGGAGCAGGGACCCGAGTAGGCAGCACCAGTGTGGGGGCCATGGGAAGTCCTGGTCCTGGTCCCCTTCTACTCCCTGGACACGGGGGTTGCCATTCTGGACCAAAGTACACCCCCTCCCCCAAAGGCCAGGTTGTTGGTGGTGGGGGGCTGGGAACATCTCCTTAGGACTCAGGTTTGGTGCCTTTTGCTCTGGCAGCTTTAGGCATCCCTGTCCCCGTGAGCGTGAGCACGTCAACATGTCAGAGGCACCCCGGGCGGAGACCTTTGTCTTCATGGACCTGGAGGCCACCGGGCTTCCGAACGTGGACCCCGAGATCGCTGAGCTGGCCCTGTTCGCTGTCCACCGCTCTTCCCTGGAGAGCCTGAAGCGGGACGAGGCAGGCACCCCCATGCTGCCCCGGGTCCTGGACAAGCTCACGCTGTGCATGTGCCCCGAGCGGCCCTTCACCACCAAGGCTAGTGAGATCACCGGCCTGAGCAGCGAAGGCCTGGCACAGTGCCGGAAGGCCAGCTTCGATGCCACCGTGGTGCAGGCACTGCAGGCCTTTCTGAGTCGCCAGGCGGGCCCCGTCTGCCTAGTGGCCCACAATGGCTTCGATTACGACTTCCCCCTGCTCTGCACAGAGCTGCAGCGCCTGGGTGCCCACCTGCCCCCTGACACCATCTGCCTGGACACGCTGCCCGCACTGCGGGGCCTGGACCGCGCCCACAGCCATGGCACACGGGCCCAGGGCCGGAAGGGCTACAGCCTGGGCAGCCTCTTCCACCGCTACTTCCAGGCCGAGCCGAGCGCCGCACACTCTGCCGAGGGCGATGTACATACCCTGCTCCTGATCTTCCTGCACCGGTCGGCTGAGCTGCTGGCCTGGGCTGATGAGCAGGCCCGCAGCTGGGCTCACATCGAGCCCATGTATGCCCCGCCTGAGGCTTGAGCAATGTGATCTTGCCCCCATCAGCCTGTACCCTTTCAGCTGGGCTCTGAGGTTTCCGCATCAACTGGCTGGGTGGGTGACACCAACTGGGTTTCTGTCCACTAGGCAGCTGGCTTCACCCAGTTCTGCCTGGTCTTTAAATCGCCCCCCCCCCCCTGCGAACACACCTCGTTCTCCTGGTTGGATGGGTGCTCCAGCCACTTGGCCATGGCCTGTGGGGCTCCGCCTGGTGCCCTTTTCAATAAACATCGCAACCAATTCTGGCCTCACTTCCCCATGTACCCACACGGCCCCATTTTATTCCTGTGGTCAGCTTGGGGAGGAGAAGGCAGGCTAGGCCTGGGTGGCACCAAGCCTTGAGCTACCCTCCTGGCAGGCCTCCTCCCCACCGTCCTCAGATGGTCCCAAGCCTGTACCTGGGAGAGAACTGCCACCGGCCTCTGTCCTGGCACCTTGCCTCCACCTGGCTGGTAGCCCTGGGTGCCCAGGAAGAAGGAGTCTGTCCCGTGCAGGCTCCCATGTCATAGGGTGCCAGGGTGGCCCTTAGCAGGGACTATACTGCTTGGGAGGTAGTAGTTCCTGGTCAGGTGACCTGCCAAGCCCCCCACCACCACCCTGGGAGCCGCCCCTGGAACCCCACCCTGAGGTGTTGCCTGCCTTGTGGGTAGGGATAGGGGTGTGTGTGGCCGCCACTCCCGAAGAGTGACTCTTGACAATGCCTTGAACCAGCCTGGCCCGTTTTGGGAACCTAAGTAGGTCACAGTCACTAGAGCAGATGGACCACCTCATGCCAGGCATAGGGCTCTGGGGCCACTAGGGGCACTGCCTGCCCCTTAGAACCTGTGGACAGTGGTCTTTCTGGGGAGGTTGGTGGAGCAGAAGGTGTGTTTGTGGGGGGGACACCACAAGGATCGAGACTGTCTGGATCATTGGCTGGGTCTCCTCCATCTGACTAGCTAAAGCCTTTAAAACTGTGGCCTGGCTTCCAACTCACTGGGCACATAAGAAGCAAGGTCCTTCCCCCTTGGCAGTCAGGCAGTGGTCTGTTCAGAGCCCTGGGGCCCCACTTCTCCCCATGCTGGGCTCCCCTTGCCTGAGCCTGCCTGGAGTCCAAGCTCCGAGGGGCCAGGCCGAACGCCTTGGATTCCAAGCTGTGTGGACAGGCCAGGGCTTGTCCCTCCCCTGGCTGCAGAGTGGTGTGTGCCTGGGAAACCAGCACATGCACACGTGCATGCATGCCGGGGGCTTCCAATAGGCTGCAGGAAAATGTCCCCCGTGCTGGGACTTCACCGTTTCATCAAGGCTGTGAGGCCTGTTTTGCCGAGCTGGAGGATCGGTTTCCAATCCTGGAGAGAGATTTCCTTCACATCTTTTTTTTTTGAGGGGGGGGCTACTTACACCACACACACATTGTTAACAGTCCCCATCATTTCCACCAGTTGAGAATGTCCACAAAGCCATCAGCAGGGGCCAGAATTCCCATGACGATGCTCTCTCTGGGCGTGATGGTGGAGGGGTAGGTGGGATAACTGCGTGACCCTAAGGGTCCATAGAGCTTCGCCAGAAGGTGACTGTGCTAGCAGGTTCCACCCACCCACCCACCTGTCCGTAAGCAGCCTAGATGATAATTGGCCATTAAGACCTCAGTTTTCTGTATCACCTTTGTTTTTAGTAGAAGTTATTTAATAGTAGGTTTCTAGAATTTAATTTTTAATAAAAGTTGTTATGGATTGTTGTGTGTCCCCCAACGTGTTTGGCACCATACTCCCTGTTTGGGGTTGGGTTGTCATTGTTATGTGGAAAAGATAGGATTAGTGAGGGGGGAGGGGTCTTGAGTCAATCTCTTGAGATCTACAAGAGATCCAACAGACAAGCAGAGGTGGGGGAAGGAAGACAGGGCTGCCACGTGAAGATGGCCCAGGAGCCTCTGCCTCCAGGAAAGAGTACTGTTTTGTTTGGTAGGCCAGAACTGTAGAGCGGTGTGTGCCGGGAAAACAGGTGTGTTTGACAATGGGCCAGCAGAATTTCCTGGCTACACTGAAGACAGACCATACGACGTAAGGATATAGCACGTGGGATGGACAGGAAAAGTTTGCCCTTTCCTACCATATCATCAAACTATGACACCACTAGATCTGCTCACCGGAAAAGGGGATTCCTGTGCTCACAGTCCCAAAGGAGACAGCCCAGATGGCCTTCCACAGGCGGGTGGCTAGACGCCCTGCGTGGTCCAGCCAGCCCGCAGGCTCCTGCAGAACCATAAAGTGGAGTGAACTGTCGATTCCGGGACGACTTGGATGTGTCTCCACGCAATTACGCCGAGTGAAAGGAGCCAGACACAGAGAAGGCTGCAGTTGGTCCCTGAGCTCATCAGGCTGGCCACCTGCCTCTTGTCAAGAGCACTGCCGACTGACAGGTCACATCAGGCCACGGGGGATGTCGGCCAATGAGGGTGCAGTGGGGATCACAAGAGGGTGCCTGGGGCCTGTAAATCAATGGAAAATGCAGTCAGGACAGGGTCTGGGACAGCCTGTTGTTGCCCCTGTCCAATGCCATCAGTGAGGCACCCCACATTCCTCCATCCGTCCCCACATGCACTCTTGGGTTCACACATGCACCCTCCCCAAGTTCCCATGCACTCACCTCCCCCAAGCACTCTCACACACCCACAAACCCCCACCCACTCACACACACCCTACCCATGCACCACCCATTCACAGCCATGACTACCCCCACCCACCCATCGCCACACCCTCCTCTCACACACAGTCTCCCCAACACATGCACTCAGGGACGGTGCAAATGTGGGGTCCATCTCTAGGTTTGCAAATGTATCCATAGCATTTCCTTCCCATTTCTGCGGTGTCTGTACGCCGATTGCGTGTCATTTCGCCACTTCTTCCTCCCGTCACTAGCTTTGTGAGGGTCATACATTTGGTTGGTCTTTTCAAAGAACACAAAACAACAGGAAACAAACAGGGATGTGATTTCTCTCCTGTCTGCGGCTCCATCCTTCTTATTCCCTCTGTCTATTTTCTTTCTTTTCTGTTGTTCTCCCCGCTCCCCAAATGTCTTAAGGGTAAAGACTAGCTACCTGGTCACCTGCCTTTCCGATGGCAGCTTTTTGTACCACGCCCCATCGTTTGGCTATGAGTCGCTCCCCTTCCTGCTGCTTTGTCACTGAGGCTTGTCGCCATGGCAATCCCACGTACACCAGAAGGAAATGCTGTCTGCTCTAGCCCGTGGTTGCGGCGATGGAGTTTTGTGTGTGTGCTTTCCCATACAGTTGCTGCTGCTGCTGTTAGGTACCATGGAGTCAGCCCCGACCCATAGCGACCCTATGCACAACAAAAAGGCACCCTGCCTGCTCTCATGCAATTGTTCCTCTGCCTGAGCCCCGTGATGCAGCCTTGGTGTCCGTCCAGCTCACTGAGGTCCCTTGTTTTTTCGCGGCCCCTATACTTTATCAAGCATGAGGTCCTTCTTCAGGGACTGGTTTCTCCTGACAGACAACATGTCCGAAGCATGTCCGATGAAGTCACCAGCTTTGACTCCAAGGAGCACTCTGGTCGTACTTCTTCCAAGACAGATTTATGTGTGCTTTTAGCAGTCCATGGTAATTTCAATATTCTCCTCCAGCACCACAAGTCCTAGGCATTAAGTCTTCTTTGGTCTTGAGACACTTGCTGATGAAGATGAAGGACTGCAGCCTTCAGTATGGATCAGGACTCCATGTAAGGAAGACCCAAATCCTCGCAGCTGGACCAGGGGGTGACATCATGATCAAGGGGGAAAGGGCGGGAGCTGTCAAGGATTTTGACTTCCTCAGAGTCACAATCAACGCTCATGGAAGCAGCAGTCAAGAGAGCAAAAGACATACATAGCAGGGCAAATCTGCCACCTAAGACCTCTTTCAAGTGCGAAAGAGCAAAGATGTCATTTTGAGGACTGAGGTACACCTGCCCCAAGCCCTGGTAGTTTCCAGCACTATATTAGACAAGGGCTGATTTGGGGAAGTAAATCATCAGGCTTTTCTTCCTGGCCTGTCTTACTCTGGGAGCTCCAGGGACTGATCTGTCCAGAAACAGGTCCAAAGTAGGTAAGATGAAGTCTCACCATCTTTGCTTCTAAGGAGCATTCTGGCTGTACTTCTTCCAACACAGATTTGCTTGTTCTTTGGGAAGGCCATGTATTTCCCATATTCTTTGCCAGCACCGTTGTTCAAATACATCCATTTATCTATGGTCTTCCTTATTCAGTACCCATCTTTCACATGCAGGGGGAGAAGGAAAATGGGTTAGGAGTACGTAACTCTTGGCATAGGCTGGGTAAGTGTGTTGGACTGCCAACCACAAGGTTGGTGGTTCAAAGCCACTAGCTGCTCTGAGGGAGAAAGATGAGGCTGTCTGCTTCTGTCCCAACTTATATAGGCTCACTATGAGATGGACTCAACTTGAGGGCAGGGGGTTTGTGACAATGGGTGTGCAGATATCATGACTGCTGTGTCTTCCATGGGCATCGGTTGTGGATTCCAGTAAATGAAAAAAAAAATCCTTTTATCACCATGTTGCTTATTGGTCTAGTTGCAAGAAGTGGGCTCGTCACATCGCATATGTTTTTGCTTTGCTGACATTGCTTTGATGACATTACTCAGCTCCCCTCAGGCTGGCAAGCATCAGGGTCTCCATGCCTATTTTGTCCACAGTCCACGGTCTTGGTTCGCTTCCCTTTCTAGAGGTTTCACTTTCCTTCCCCTGCTGGCCAGCTGGCTGGGTCAAAAGTCTTTTCTCTTTGGAAACTCCGACCTGTTCCCTCTAGGAGTTCTGGACTTGTTTTCAAGAAATGCTCAGGAATGTGACAATCCCAGTCGGCTCTCAGTAAGCCCCTTGCCATTGGCAATTCTCCTCCTCCTGGTCTGGGGGAGGCAGCCAGGTGTCTGGCCACATTGAGGACCCAGCCCTGGCTGGCGGCTGGGAGTGCCTCCAGGTGTCAGGGCGGGCAGGTGGAGCCAGGGCACACCCTGAGGACTACAAGTCCTCCTGCTGAGGCTCCTCCCTGGGCCCCAGGACTCCTTCTCCTTACCACCCAGAGATTCTGCCCACAAAATTGGAACTATGTGGTTAGTGAAGGGAACAGCGGACCGCAGCAGCCAGCTCGCTGGCTAAGGAGATGCACTAGCTCTAGGTCAGGATAGACTCCGGGGCCGGGGGCGCTTTCTACTGACTGTAGAGGTGGTTTCCGCCAGCTCAGGGCTAGAACTAAGTCACCCCGGGAAGTGGGGACACGAATTTCGAGGAGTTCTGGATGGGCAAGGTGCCAAGGGTACTACACAAACTGTCAAATC